AATCATCGTATGGCTGTTTATGTAAATCTCAATTGGTTTTTAATTTAGTATCTATGGCATGTAAGGTAAAACCAGATAGTTTTCGCGCTTTAGTGCAAGCTCGACGCTTTTGGAAGAATCCTTTCCAGCTGCGCCGATGATGGAAGAAGGTTCATCCCATTTTAATCCGGAACAAGAGAGTATGCCGCGTAGACTATGACAATCTGAACGTCCTGGCCGAGCCAAAAGTTTGTTGGTCTTCTGATGAGACCGACACACGAATCTCTTCATCCGACACTTTCATATGAAATATAAGTCTCCACAAACGTATGTTGAAAATCTAGTTTTTCAGTAATCTCTCAAGAGATTGATGTTGGAGTTCCATACGTTTCGTTTGATGAGGCCGAAACCGAGCGAGTTGTGAGTGTAGATTTGTGCGACCGTTATACGACCTCGATGAATCTTTACCGAGCTTTCATCCCTCATGTGAGGCATATCATTCTTCCTATTTTGCCGAGCCTGGCGTCCTGCTCTGACGATGCCCATCACATGACGGACGTCAGTTTTACGAGTGGGACAGTAAGCCGAAGACTTATTCGCCAAAATCTGTAGTCAGAGCCCATCTGGTGAGGCCAACTTAAGGATCCTTGAAGTGGCTTGACCTCGTTGTTGCAATTTGGGGACTATGTAGAACGCGTCTAGTCCGAAGTCGTCTGCCGTAGTAGTTTTCATGATTCCCAGCATCTGACAGTGGACTTGATACATTCTCAAACGTCATCAGTGAGTGCTGCCATTCTCCGCACCAAGCTAAGAACTCGTCAATGAGACAAAAGTCTCTCTTGGTGCGGAGGATGGCCTCACTCACTGATTTTACCGCCGTCTGAGAATGTACCAACTCCACTGTTTGATGCTGGGAGTCATGACAACTACGATGACAGACGACTTCGGACCCAGACGTTCTACTAAGTCGCCCTGACAACAAGACCACGTTGCGACAACAAGGTCAACCCACTTCTATACATCGAAAGGAGACTGCGACCATACCAGACGCCGCAACATCTTGGTTTTCATATATTCAATTAAGAATCCTTCTCACTCGCCTCCTCAAACGAAATGAAAAGTACTCCAACACCTCACCGACAATAGTTAAATTCTTGTTTTAGACTCGTTCATAGTTTCGACACATCTGATCACAGAGAAAATATCATGACAAAAAAAGTGATCTAGACAACCGTAGGCTTGTAGATACGAAGAGAAAGTTGGTTTCGATGAATCTCCTGAGATAACATTGTTGGGGGGACCTTCATTTTGGATTAAAGTGCACGTTTTCACCTGAAACGAGGGAGAAGGTCGTCGTCTAAAAGCCAAACGGCTGCAGTACAACGCGATTCATCCGTCCTCATCTGGTCAGATCGAGCAAAGAATCTCTTCTTCACTCACTTTCATACAAAACGAAGGTCCCACCCCCTACTCAAGCATGCAGAGAATAAAACGTGTATTCATGTGTGCTTATCAGCATAGCCACGCCCGTCTGAAAATGTACCCATTCAAGAGTGTGATACTGGAAAAGGCCTAAAAAGAACCCTCAAATAGGTAATTCAGTAACCCAACTGCACCTCAATCAGGCATTCACAGCAGAAACTCCTTCTGTCGTCCATTGAACATTGCCTTCATGTGGAAGTTAGCGGGTTGTGGGTCCCAGTTCCACTTGAAGCGTCAACACACCTTCCGATTTTAAACACTTTCAACGCATTTGACAAATGTATGAAGTGGACTCATTCGATTTGGTTTGATATGATGAAGGTCAAGTAGTTGAATTTTCCCAAAATTGTGTCAGTAGGCTTCCCGGGTCCATTGAACTTCGCATGGCCTTGCTTTCCAAAAGGTGTTCTCAACCGGGCCAGTGGAGACTGCACTTTCCTCACCACCCCCAGCGGGAGTCGAACCTGGGCCGTTGTGGTGCAGCGTATAGTCTCGAGACGTTGACCACTACGCCAAACCGTCCCGAGTGTGAATTTCAAGGAAACCTATGACTTTGACGAAGAATGCGGTTTCGAAAAAGGCAATGTTGGACGGAAAGGGTTCACGGAACGGTCTCGACGGACGCCAAAGAAGGATGTCGGCGAAGCGAAGACTGTTGAATTGTGCCAAGTAGTCCTCGACTCACCGTCATGCGACTCCGATGAACCTGTACTAAGCTATCGTCTGGACGGTGACAGACAGCATCAGAACGTGAATCCATACGTCACGAAATAAAGAAAAATATAGTTAACAAATAGACAAATTGGACGGTAGCAATGTGTGTAAAGTATGAATTCTCGCTCTGATATATTTGTCATAGTCTAGACGAAAGCTTAGTACACGATATCCTTTCAAAAAAATTTTCCTCCGAGAGCGGAAGGTCATATCTAAGCTGTGGTGAGATTGTTGACGAGAAAAATTTGTATTTGCTTTGGCACTAGATTAGATTACCTCATCAAAAAGCTCAGATATAGAGTACATATAGAGCACTTTGAGGATGAGCCAATGAATTTTCTTAACTCGTAAGGATGGTACCCTCCCTGTTCTGATGATGTACCTCATGTACCTCCGCTGTCGTCTTCTGGTGGAATCGACCTTCCAATATTTCCACCAAACACTTTCTCTCGAAATGGAAGTAAGTTCAACAATTATGACACAACATTGTGACATTCCTCGAAACATAAATTCCCTTTGCATATACTAATTTTCACTTTATAAGTAGTCTATAGTTGTTTGAAATGCAATTTCGTTTCTTCAATAATCCCTAAAATTCCCATCTATCCTGCGATTC